CTAGGAAGCTCCTGTCATAGAGCAGAAATTCAATAAATACTTGCTGAATGATAGAAAGATGGTTGAAGTGAAGCAAGGTGAGAGACCTATGTTTAGCTAATATCCTCTAGTATTATTTGTGTAATTATGGGGAGAAAATTTTTTTTAAATGTACACTCTTTTTAGGCAGTTTATCTACCTAGTAATTCAGTAATCCATCCACTTAACCTAGAAACCAAAAAGATCTGAAACACATTTAAAAATAAAAATAGATGAAAAATAATAAAGATGGAAATTAGAGTGGGAAACAAGATGTTTATATATGTATACATGTAAAGACAAATCATAGGAAAGAAGGGAAGTTTGCTTTCTTAGTTTCTTCAAATCAATCTTATTATAACCACTATTATAACGCTTTTATTATAACAAAACTCTAAGAATATTTATTACTTCCTCATATGGCCATGTACTACAGCCCCTATATAACCAGATTCCTTATATCATGAGCCAAAGAATCTGTTGGAGGACACAAATATTCAATTATAATAAAATGTAATAAATAAATTATAATAGTAATAACATAGGTTTTTGTGGGAGAATAAAACAGGATTCTTCTCTTAATCAGCAAAAATGCTCACATGGTAATTGCTGTACTTTGATGCTACTATGTCCAATTCCAAGAGACTTTTCTGATACATGTAAACACTGTTGGCTTTTGATGTACAGGGAAATATTACTAGTAAAAATGAGATCTGAACATGTAAGTCATTCTATCATAAGAAAACACATTTGAAAAATGGCCTTTTTCTTATAAGTGAAAGCCAAACTCTGGTTCTACTTAGCCAGGTAATATGTTTCTGTCATTCCAATGGATCAGCCCACACATACTGGGCTCTTCATAGGTCCTGGGCTCCACCATCTGGCCCTTTATTTACTTAATTCCTTTTTAATACTGACAAGTGTATTAGTAACACTTCCATGATCACTAGTGAATATAGAGCCACTGCACAAGCAAGATTTTCCCTAATTCTGGAAGTCACTAATTAGTTGTGGGTAGGGGTGGGGAACATTACAAAGATATGTTGAGCAGTACTATAATAAGTAGTCTAATTCCCAAGAAGAAAGCATGTTAATCTGCTTCCCACTTGATTAGAAAAATAAAAAAACATGTTGTCATCACTAAAGGATATAAAGAGAGATCTGAATATTGGAGGAAACAGTAGATAAGGAGGAAGAATAAATACAGCATTCAGGCAAGAAACACAAATCCCCTACATTTGGTAGACAATGTTCATGGTTTCTCTTGATATCTTTTGATTGCTCTATTTATCAGTGAGTTTCATAAGCATAGTTTATTCAATTAATAAACACAAGCTACCAAAGAAAACAAATAAGGTAAATGAATCCTACTTAAATAAACTGATAGTTCTTCTGATACTTAAGATATACATTAGGCAATTTAGAAAGCTAGTAAGGTCTCATTCACTTGAGCTCCACAATAAAATACAGTAGGCTTAAAGGAGAGAATACAGTTTCCAAAGGTGCTAAAAAGTTATTTAGAGAGAATATATTACCTAATTTAAGTACTGAAACTAGAAATTCAGTATTTTAAGTCCATTAAAGAACATTTTTTAATAATATTTGTGTGTGTTTTTTTAAAGAGAGTCTAAAACTTTAATTTTCCAGGAGATTTATATTCTTCAAAGAACGTCAACTAATTGTTATATGTGTTAATTCAAGCATCAAGTATAAATTATTATACTTGATGCTTGAATTCAAGTCCCTGAAACTAATGATTCAAAGTCGTGTCCACTGTCCTCGTTTATAAAATCAAAAAATGTAATACAAAGCAAAAACCTTTTCAAGATTACTTTTTGTTTCAGTCTATCTTCTTTATTTATAGACATTTTGGGGAAAATATGACATTCAATTATAGTTTTATCCCAAGTAACTATAATATCAGCTAAAAATTTATAAATCTGTGGATTGTGTGATAAATACTAGTATTTCCTTAATTAAATTTTAACTAATAAATAAAAGTTAATTGGTTCACATACGAAAGTAAATGGATGAAAGGCCAAAAACTAGAATAAACAGGGAAAAGGAAGTTAGGGGATGCACTTTGTTTAATATCGAGTTTGAGACCTGTCAAAGAAGTGGGGCATGTCTTATTACTGGTATATGAAAAATAAAGAATGGATGCTTTTGCATACAAATAAATGCAAGTATAGAAACAAAATAGAAGCTTTGTGTTACAATGGAACTTACACTTCTCTGGGCAGTGATCAGCTAAGAAGGAATAGAGACAGATACAATGCAATGATTAACTAGCTGACGAATTTATTATTCATGACAGGTATGTAAGCAGTCAGGACAGCAATGCTGGTGGCTTCTCCTCATCTAGCAGCTTTGCCAGGACAGACTGGAGGCTTGGAATCAGGCGAGACACAAAAACAATAAAGCCTATTGCCAGCTAACAGAGGAGTCAGCACAATCCAACTCCAGTTTTTAATAATACCAGAAATCTCTCTTGAATAATGTTTTCCCCTGTGATTGGCATATATTGTATTTATAGAATGTTGCCAACGCTTACCTCTATTTATCTTACTATGCATAGTAGCATACTTGAAACAACTACCTGGAAATTGTTAAGTATTACAGGAAAAAAGTGACTTTATCATTAGTTGGCAAAAATGTCTGTTGATAGGTATAACCATCATGTCATTACACGAACAGATGGTCAAAGTGAGTTCATTTACTGACAGTATATTATGTGGGTCTTTTTATCCCTGAACAACCAAACCAAAGTACAACACAGAAGAGGCCATCATGCCTTCCCGAGTTTGGTTGGCAGCTTTATCTGTGATATATGAAAATAAAGAAACAACCTGGGCTGTAATCCTGCATACTACATTTCCAAATAACATTTAATAGAATATTTAAGTACTCATATTAAAAAGTCATCCTGGTATTTGTAAAGATTTAAAAAAAATAGTGTTTTTAAAAATCTCTCAACTCCATGATCTCTAATTAAAGGAGAAAAATAAAATAGTCATATTTCTTATACTTCAGTGTTTGTTTTTAATTTAAGCAACAATTTAAAAGGGGGGGAAGCAAGTTACAATTCTTTATTGTTATTCAGGTATTTTAATAAAATGTTAGAAAAAGATATTTTGAAAAAGCAATCTCCATGTTAAAATCAATTTATCTTTGAAAGGTTGTGCTCTCTCTGTGTATATATTATTTTACTGAATAATTTTAAAATATAATAGCTTAAATATTCATAAATGAATAAATTAATAGTCTAGCAGATATCCAATCACCAATTACTGCATTTCATACCATGAGATCTCTTGAAATACACACATACACACACACACACACACACACATTGCTTCTAGTATATAGACTCTATATGATAGCTTCATCTCTAGAACTAATGCAAATAGAAAATATTATCTTGATTTTGTGAAATAAAAAATATTATGGGGCCTTAGCTGGTTTGGCTCAGTGGACAGAGCATTGGCCTGCGGACTGAAAGATCCTGAGTTCAGTCCGAGTCAAGGGCACATGCCCAGGTTGCAGGCTCAATCACCAGGGGTGTGTGTGCAGGAGATAGTAGATCAATGATTCTCTTTCATCGTTGATGTTTCTCTGTCTCTCTCCTTCTCCCTTCCTCTCTAAAATCAATCAAAATATTATTTTAAAAAATAATATGGGGTCAAGAAGAGAGAATGTATGAATACATTTCTATCTATATCTATTCCAGCTAATAATAATAGCAACAGCTGAAAATTATATTACTAAAATGCATCTACACATGTGGTTATGAAAACCTAGGCTTAAGAAAAATTCTAGTTACCCACCTTCAAAAAGAGCTGATGAAGTATGAAGTTTAAGATACATCTTTAGTACTTCTGTACCTTAAAATATTGCCAAGTATTAATTTTTCATCAAGTTGTCATTTTCTCTGACATTTGGTTTTATTAATCAAGGCATTTATCATTAATTTGTAGAAAATATCATAATTAAGCCAAATAAAATAAAACCCTTAAAAGGTTAAAATTAGAAAGCAGGTGAATTAGAACTTTGACATTCCCCTGTTGATATACAAGAGCTATTTGAAAGTATGGGAGTTAAGTTTTTGCAGTTAGTTTGATGCCTCAATCTTGGGGCTGGGTACTTTTTTTTAAATGTTATAAAGATTTGATTTAAAGCTCCCTGACAGTTTTGACATTCAGGTGAAAGTACTGCTGCTACATTTGGAACAATTTGCATATCCCACTGCTAAATAGAATGTTTGAGGTGTTCACTGGTGTAAAGAAATGAAAAACAAGCTATCACACATGTTTAAGTGATGGTTGGATCACACAACCCCATCCTTCCAATGTAATCTGTGATTTACTCTTCTATAATAAATTACCCTACCATGTTATTCTCACTGGAAGATCTAACCATGCATGTAAGGAGCAAAGTAATTACAGCCCCCTCTTGTCTAAGAAACCTTCTTCAATCCCTATAAGCTCTTTATACACAATGAAGGGACACAGTTGATTGTAAACTTCTTGCCTGCAATTCTAGACTTTTGTAGCCATGAAATCTCATCTGAACAGTTTTGTTGTTCCCAACAAATGCATTTTTACTTTTTAGAGTGAGTTATAAAACTCTTTATGATGCGGAATAGGTACTAACTTATTGGTTTTGAGGCAATCTGCCTAGATAAGAAAAGAGCAAGGGAAGAGTTCCAAACTGATTTAAACAAGGGGAGGGGCCATAATACATTCCCATATAGAAGGAAGAAAGGATACACCACCTAATTAGGCTGAGATATTCTCAGATAACACAAGCTTTTTTCTTTCTTGACTTATAAGTTCAATCATTCTTAAGGCAGACATAGAAAAGGACATATAATGCATTAAAGGGCAATAAAGGAAAGACTTGAGTTTATAAACCCAAACACTTTAATATCATAAAACTTTTTAAGAAGATAAAACCTTTTCAAGAAAAATCTCATTGGCCATTACCTTTAGCCTTCAATGTCTCAAGAGGCAAGTCTTACCACTTCTTTTGGTGACTGTAAAAAGAAAAACTCAAAATTAGAATTCTGCTAAGGAAACAATTTAGCTTTTCATAATATCTATATTACTAATTATAAAAAGTAGATAGCTAAGTTTGTATATGTCAAATAATATCTATAGTTTTTATAAAATAGACTAACATGTTCATTTGTGTTTGTGCAGAACAAGTACTCAGTAAAATATGGTATGAATATATAATGTAAGCCACTATATACTGTATAAAGTTTATATGGAAAATAGGTTATTTATAATAGTATTACTAAAAGATTTCTTAGTTTACACAAATAAAGGCTTTACATTTATATTTCTTTTTTTAATATATTTTATTGATTTTTTACAGAGAGAAAGGGAGAGGGATAGAGAGCTAGAAACATTGATCAGAGAGAAACATTGACCAGCTGCCTCCTGCCTGCCCCCCACCAGGGATGTGCCCGCAACCAATGTACATGCCCTTGACGGGAATCGAACCTGGGACCTTCCAGTCTGAAGACCAATGCTCTATCCACTGAGCCAAACTGGTTTCGGCTACATTTATATTTCTATAATTTAAAAAGCTAATTCCAAACGGTCTTTACCCCATTTATTTGTTTATCCTTAATTATCACAGAGTTTGCAAAGACTCTCTTGTCTACTATACACAATATACTGGAATAAGCACTGGTAAGTTAGGAAGTATACAAGTAAGAAAGACCCAGGCCCTATCCTCAAAATAGTGAGTGAAGTTGGAGAGATGTGCATAATTAAGCTTATCCAGAAAGAAAATAAAGTAAGTGGGTGGAAATAAATAGGGAGCAGAGGGTAACATGTTCAAAACAGCTAGAACTGGTCTAAAGCACCAAATGCATGGAAGTGAGAACATGGTATCATGTTTCCTGTTCTAGAAAGCAAAGGTAATAATAATATACTACCCAGATTTGGAGGGAGGGATGTCAAATAAATGGATAGTATAGAGTCAAAGCTGGGACGGAGAGCAGTGAAGCAGGCAGGATAGGATGCTGAGGTGCCTATGAAGCCAATTCAGTGATTTTGAACTTGAAAAAAATTAACTAGAAGTAACTCTTCTATTAAAAATTGAGTTTGATAGTATATGTCCTTGGAACGTGATCCAAACCTGCATTTTAATTGATGGGACCTTTAATATGCATAAACAGTACTTTACAAAGGGAAAACAAATAATCAAACAAGCCACACCAGTAAATCAAAAGAATCCTCAGTTTAGGATGTATTGATAGATATAAACAGGGTCCAGAAAAGGAAGGTGCTGGTCCTATAATATTCAGGCTATGTGAGTAATATCACACTTACTCTGCAACACAAAACTATAGAAGAGGCACTGAAAATTAGAATTTCTTAGAAAGACTGAGATAAGAACCATTATTCATGAATAAACAGAAGATAACTAGGAATGGGGAAAAAATGTTCAGATTGTAGGGATGAAGTAAGGAAGGACAGTTGAGAGAAAATTAATTTGGCTACTACATAATATAAAATTAATTTTTACTTCTTTATTGTCTGTTTCTCCCACTAGAATGAAAGTGTCATGAGGTCAGTACTATCTTTTTCACTGTATTACCCATTTTCATAAACGGTGTCTGCCACAGAGTAGGAGATCAACAAATATTAATTGAATAAAAGAATGAACAGCCTGACCAACCTATGAAATAGGCACTAAGTCCACACTCATTTACAGATGAAGAAATTTATACTTAAGGAAGAGAAATGTTATGAACTAAATTAAACTTTGCCCTTTGCAATCCCAAATTGCTACAATCCATTGTTTATAGTCTTCTACACAATATTCATTCTAGCAGTGAAACAATCAAGCAAATACAATGTTAAGGCACACACACACACACACACACACACACACACACACACATATATATATATATATATATATATATATATATATATATATATTATCTAATAAAAGAGTAATGTGCAAATTGACCATCACTCCAACACACAAGATGGCCACCCCCTTATGGTCAAAAATGGCCACCCCCTTGTGGACACAAGATGGCCACCACAGGATGGCTGGCAGGGGAGGGCAGTTGTGGGTGATGGGTGATCAGGCCAGCAGGAGAGGGCAGTTGGGGGAGACCAGGCCTGCAAAGGAGGGCAGTTTTAGGCGATCAGGCCAGTGGCTGGGGGGGGGGGGGGCAGTTAGGGGTGAATAGGCCGGCAGAGGAGGGCAGTTGGGAGGGAGCAGGCCTGCATGGGAGGGTAGTTAGGGGTGACCAGGCTGGCAGAGGAAAGCAAGTGTGGGGGACCAGACCTGCAAGGGAGGGCAGTTGTGAGCGATCAGGCCAGCAGGGGAGAGCAATTGGGGGGGACCAGGCCTTGAGGGGAGGGCAGCTAGGGGCAACCAGGCCTGCAAGGGAGGGCAGTTGGGGGAGCCAGCAGTCCTAGATTGTGAGAGGGATATCCCAGATTGGAGAGGGTGAAGGCAGCTGGGCTGAGGGACACACACACACACACACACACACACACACACATGAGAGCGCGCGTGCGTGCACACCTATGCATGAATTTCATGCACTGAGCCTCTAGTCCTATCTAATAAAAGATTGATATACAAATTGACCATACATCTACCAGCCACGCCCACCAGCCAATCAAAGCGAATATGCAAATAAACCCAAACAAGATGGCTACAGCCACAGAGAGCAGGAGGGAGGCTTGGGTTTCCCAGGCAACAGAGGAAGCCAGGCTTTCAACCTGCCCTTGCCAGCCTAGGCCTCCACTCAAGGGTACAACGCTTCAATTATAGAAGGTAAACAAACAGAAATGGCTGCAGCCATAGAGCAAGCAGGAGGCTTGGCTCCCCTCCAGGCTACAAAGTTGCAATTGTAGAAGATACATAAATCCCAGATACCAGGGCCTCTGCTTGGGTCATCAGGGGGTGGGCCAGCCTGCAAACCACTCACAGGCCCCTCGCCCAGGCCACCCCACACCCCAAGGGAACCCACCCTGATCCGGGACACTCTTCAGGGCAAACCAGCCTGCCCCACCCATGCACTAGGCCACTATCTAACAAAAGAGTAATATGCAGATTGATCATCCCTCCAACACACAAGATGGTTGCCGCCATGTGGTCAAAGATCCTGCCCCCATGTTGACACAAGATGGCCACCACAAGATGGCCAGCAGGGGAGGGCAGTTGAGAGGGACCATGCCTGCAAGGGAGGGCAGTTGGGGGCAATCAAACCTGCAGGGGAGGGCAGTTAGAGGTGATCAGGCTGGCAGAGTAGAAAAGTTGGGGGTGACCCGGCCTGTAGGGAAGGGCAGTTGGGCAGGACCCAGGCCTGCAGGAGAGAGCAGTTGGAGGGGACCAGGCCTGGGGGGGAGGGCAGTTAGGGGCAAACAGGCTCACAGGGGAGCAGTTAGGCATCAATCAGGCTGGCAGAGGGGTAATGGGATCGGGTCTAAACAGGCAGTCGGATATCCTTCGAGGGGTCCCAGATTAGAGAGGGTGCAGGCTGGGCTAAGGGATACCCCCCCACCCACCCTCCGTGCACGAATTTCATGCACCTGGCCTCTAGTATATAAAAGTTTAAGCAACCATTATAAGGGAATAACTGGAATGATGGGTCAACTAGTTGCTATGATGTGCACTCACCACCAGGGGGCAGACACTCAAGGCAGGAGCTGTCCACTGGTGGTTAGTGCACTCCCATAGGGGAACCACACTCAGCCAAAGCAGTCTCACGGCTGGCGAGCACAGCTGCAGCGGTGGGAGCTTCTCCTGACCCCATGGCAGCACTACAGAGTGGCAGCGGCAGGTGCAACAGGCAGGGATGAGCATGAGCAGTGCAGTGTCCAGCCCCAGTACTGGCTGCCTGCCGCTTGGCACACTGATACATCCCCCGAGGGATCCCAGATTGTGAGAAAAAGTAGACCCCAGGCTAAGGGACACGCCCCGCAGTGCACAAATTTCACGCACCAGCCTCTAGTTTTATATATTAATAATTAGTACTATGAAGACAAACAAAATAAGGTAACAGCATTGAGAGTTACATGGGCTGGTATTCTAAATGGGTTTGAACAGGAAAGCCTCTCAGAGGAGATAACAATAAGAAAAGGCCTCAATAAAATGAGGGATACAGTTAAAAAATATCTGGTAGTCTATATAGGCTCTTACAAGGATTAAACAAAATATATATTACCTTTCTCATAACATGGCTAGCACACAACAAACAGTACTCTCAATAACTATTGTTTTATGTTGTTATTATTTTTATAAATGTTAAATTCCCCCACTAGATTATAAATTTGTCAGAAATTCTATTTTATTTTCCTACAACTCCTTAAGTAGTGGCTAGCAAGAATTCAATAAACATTTATAGAACTAAAAATAGAATTACACATTACCAGTTCATTAATGAGAAAAAAGTAAATAGACTACTATTATATGAACATGAAAAAGTAACCATCTTTAATATGCTTGAGTCAATTTAATTCTGTTAAATCAAAGTTGCTTAATAATTAATCATTTATGGATTAAAAAGAAAGCAAAAATGAAAAATACATATAAAATAGCTACAGCCAGTAAATCATAGGTTAAAGAAAGTAATAAGGAAGAATCAGAAAAAAATGAAGTTTTCAGTATTAGTCCACTACTTGACCATTACATGCTCCATCTGACTCAATCAGACTAAGGAGTCTACTACACAGGTGTCTGATGTATTTATGTGTTCATATTACAAGCACAGTGTCTCAGATAAAGCAAACATTCAATACATCTTGGTTGAACTGAATTGAACCAAAATGATCTTTAGTAGTTCTGATGCTTTAAAATTTTTAAAAATATAGCAAAATAGGAGATTATAACAGAAAATAATCTCAAGTGTTAGGTTTTGTTAACTATAACAAAGGAATAGTGAACAAGGTTAGTTTTTAACAAAGACTGATTTATATATGACTGTAATTTGGCAGTAGAAGAGACAAATAATTAGAACAGCCCATAGGGACTTAGTTTGAGGTAGCATTTCCACA